TAACCCTAAATCCTATGTGGTAACCAGAACCCGAACCCTAGCCCTATTCTGTGATCCTAAACCACAAAACTAAACCCTTACCCTAAACTACAACGCTAAGACTAAATCTAACCCTAACCTCAAACGCCAACACTTGTCCTAACCCTGAACCTAAGTTAATGCTCGACCCTATTACCACCCCCAACCGTAAACACTAGTTCCAACTGTAAAACTTAATCATAATCCTAAACGTCTCCCCCTAATACCACGGGCAGAAAATTCTCGAAATCAGTAACGCACTCACTTAAACCCATATCAGTAGCAAAGTTATGCACTGCTGGCTATGTGGGGCTGTGCTTTCGTCAGTTACCAAACCAAAAACGAAAAACCCTACTGGGATAGAAGCAAATCGTCACTTAGCTACACACCTAGCCACAATCGGGAATTGACCATGCCACTAATCGTTCGGCAGCACCTCGTCAGTAAATGTGAATACAGAAGTTGTATGCTTAGGTAACACGATTTAACATATGTGAGAGAACAGATATTAGTTAAAGGCCTGTACACGTGTTTTTGCAGATATTCTGCCGCTGCATGACACAGCTGAGAGAGATTCGGTACATCATTGATTACCCCAGCGTTCGCGGTGTGCTTTTCTGGTAGATACTTCAGTTTTGAAGTTGCGGCTTCTTAACGTCTTCAGAAATTAATCTCTAACTTGGAGCTTATCAGTCCATTTGAGACTTACAGGCTCAGATGGTTGGACGTTTGTAAATATTACGCGGTTATTCCGCTATGGTTGACGGACTTCGACTCATATATTCTTGTGGAGTTTCAGTCTTGGCCTATAGAGAAGTAGTAATTCGTCTCTGTAAAAGACGTAGAAGTGAGAAGCATCACCAAGACGCCAGAAGGACTGAGGAATATCATTATCTCTTTTTTTCCTGCCGGTCTCTGCGCTTAACAACCCACATAGTAAATGTGCGAAAATGAGACAGAGTCAGAAACTCCACTGAGACTAAATAATATCTTTGGGCTGTTTATAGTTTTGAAAATTCTCATAACGATATTCAGAAGACGAAGTGTCGAACAAGCGTTGCTTTCGATAGCTTCTCTCCAGGCCACCTCAGACCAATCAATGTGCTTCTAATCATTCACTTGCTCTTGTGGAGCAGGGTATATTGGTCGTACGAGTCGACTTCTTTCCAAAGGAATACGAGAGCACCTCTCCGTATGGCTGCTAAAAGGCGAAATTAACAGAATAGACAGAGCAATCTTTGCACATGTCGTGGATGCAGGGCATCGTGTGTACCCCGCTGAAGCATTTCTCGTGATTTATAAGGTCCCCTCGAACTACCCAAAGCTACTACGCCAGCTCCTGTTAGCAAAAACAGAAGCAGTGTCTATCAGGTTACGAAAGCCGATCTAATGCTCTCAGAAGAACCTCGTTCAGGCTTCGCGCTTACCGCGTTTAAAGGTTGACTAGCCACATACAAATTTCTGCGTCCTTACGCTCTTGCCTAACCTGTGTTTTCAAAACCAACTTTTATCGATTTTTTCACTCACCGTACCGCGTTCCCAAATAACTGTACAGGCCTGAAGAGAAGTCATCGAAAGCAATGTTTGCTCGTCACCTCATCATCTTAATGATATCTACTTGTTGTCATGATGGTGACAGATGAAAAAAAAGAAGAAAAACACACTGAGGTATTCCCCGTCCCTTAAGTCAGCCATGCTCTTTACTGTAGGCAATTAGATGACAGAGTTAGCTTACTGCTGGACGTCATTCTGTTTGTCTAGCGGCATGCTCAATAGATTTCACTGGCAAGTATATAGACCGGGTCACTTAAACTTTTACTGCACCTCGCATACCTTAATCCATAATCCGTCATGTAGGCGTCGGGGAAGCCAAAAAAGCACCCACTAGGGAAACTGCTGAAGGTACGACAGACTGCAATTTGCCAGCGACATTTTCTGCTTTGAGTCTGCTTTGATCGCATGCAACTCTTTTATGGAAAACACATTAAAACTGGATAACATCTTGACTAGATTTAACCTTGACCACCAGACATGTGCGTGTCTTCGAAATTCCCAGTAAACATTGACGGTCAGCGGACATTTGGTTAAGGGGTCATTTAATTGTTGATCAAGCTTAAATTTCTCCTTCATCAAAAGTCTGACTATTTAATAAGCATTCCTCAGACGGTGGATTTTACACAGATGGTTGGAAAGTTAATAAGTTTTTTTTGGGAACCCCGGTATACATAAATAAGTTGAAGTAAGACAACATCAGGGTTATTTAATAAGATCTGGCATTGACGACGAAGCCCATAAGCACAAAAAGCACATACGGATCAAGGATGTAAGATCGAATTTAGCCGCAAACAGCGAATTCGTTCTGGTGGTGTCGGAATTTCGGAAGAACGTTAGTGACGGGGTATCGTCAGGCTGGTGTCACATGACCACTCCGGCATGAGGAAAAGTCAAGCTAAGTGGCGGACATGTGATTGGTTGGTTAGTTTGGGGACGGAGAATAGCGAGGGATGGGCAGGGGGCATGGACACAATGGCACACGGTGACTGGTCAGGCCGACTGACGAGCACGGGGCGGATAAAGTTTGTGGACGCCGCCGTAGTTGGTTGTAGCTGAACAAGGATGCACCCCAGCTTAGGACTGAGGAGTGGCCGCGCCTCAGATGTGTCAGTAGCTCTGGGGTATGACCTCTGGATGTTTGTTGTGGTTGCTAACCCAAAGACATCAGTAAGTGAGAGACGGCAGTCTTGGCCACGCATTATGAGGAATATTTGTATCAGGTCGCCTCTTAGCTGTCTATGACTTAGAGGAAAAGGGCCGGGAATGGATAACCGTGTTTCGTAAGGTAGTGAACCTTGTCCACTAACGAGTTTCGTTTCTGAAGGATGTTGAGTTCTTCAGCGGTCCAGGGTTTCCACGCTTGACTAGCGAACTCTAACTGTGGCCGCACAAATGCCCGAAAAACTTTAACGAAGCAGTACTCATCGAAGGTAGAGAAAACTCGCTTGACAAGGCAAAGGGCTAGATCGCAGTTGGTAGCCCGGAATGGGACAGCGGAAGGCGAACAAAAGCCTAATCCTAACCTTAACCCTAACCCTAACCTCAACCTTAAAAGTTAACCGTTAACCCTAACGGCAACCCTAACCCTAACCAAAATCGTAAACGCAAACGTAGCCTTTAGACCTAGCCGTAACTGAGAAACCTAACCGTAATACTGAAACATATTCGTACCCTCAAACTCTAACAGTATCCCGAAAACCTGAGCCTACAGGCATAACACTAACGCGAAAATCGGAAATTATTAACCGAAACCCAAATCCTAACATCAAACGTAAAACGGAAGCCAAATAGGTCAGATGAGCCTATGGAGCCCCACAAAATAGTTCCAGAAATAAACCCCCAGCCACCTGTAATACGGGGCCTGGCTACAAACTGTGATCTAGCCAGGTAAAGGACTAACATTGCGGACTTAGTTAAATTGGAGCACTGGGGCGACAGTGTAAGTAAAGCCGTGATCCATACACCCAAGTCTTTCTGGGTGCCACCCCCTACAATAGTATGCCATTTAGGCGGTAAACCCTGCAGGTTAAAGATTGGCCTCCACCGACTCGCAGAATGTTGCACTTAGTCACATTGAATGGCAAAAGCCAGTCCTGCGACCATTTCTCGAGCCGATTCAGGTTTTTTTGCAGGTGCTCTTCGTCAACTTCAGTTCGGATGACGCTCCAAAATTTGACATTATCAGCGAACATGGCGACGTCACAATTCAGTTCACTGACGCAGCCTTTGACGTAGATAATGTATAGGGTAGGGCCAGGGACGGGGTCTTAAAGAACACCGCTTTCAACCGCTACCTCTGCCGAGTACCTGTCACCGACGTGGACTATTTGAGAGCGACCGATCGAGAAGCTTTGAATCCACCTCAGGAGATTGCTCCTAATGCCTGTTCGGTTTAATTTGTACAGCTGTCGATGTGGTAGATTATCGAATGCTTTCTTAAAGTCACCATAGACTGCTTGCACCGTATTCCCGCCACCAACTGCTCGGGTTCAACGTTCTAAACGATAAAGTAGGTTTATCAGGCACAATCGGCCTCTATGAAATCCCTGCTGGGCATCGCATAGCAGATTATGTTGCTCTAGGAAGCGCTTTTTTTCTTGCGTAATTGATTTTTCGACATAATTTTGCAGCAGATTAAAGTGAGACTGCTTGGTCCGTAGTTGTCTGCTTAGACCTGCTGCCGTTTTTTACAGTGGTGTATTCTGTGCAGATTTCCAGTGGGTGGCCAAATAGCCTGCTTCGCACGAGGCTTGGAAGAGCATGGACAGCGGTTTTGACAGTTCTTCAGTCAGACACCCTATTAGAATTTCCCTCGATAGTCATGATCAAAAGTTCTTTTTTACAGAACCCTTTTTTCCTAAAATACACTAGATAATATTTACCTATATTCGCACAATCATTAGGATATGACCATCAATTTCATCTTGAAATAAAAAATGATTTTCCGTCATGCATACGATTTAGCAAACTGTTCTGGTTTGATCTTTGATGTTAAGGATTTGAATTCGCAATTGGTTCTTTAAGCTGTATTAAGTCCATTCCATTTGAAAGTTGCTCTGGAGACATTAAAGCAAGGCAACTTGCGTATTGCTTCGGGGGGTAAGCATGCATGCTGGGAGTTTTCTTCTTGCTGATGTGAACAAATATACATTCAAATTTCCTTCTTCTTTTAGGGTGTGATGTAACTTAATAAACTATTCAAAAATATATGCCAGTTATTTCTACCTTGCGTTATCCTGTCTATTTTACGCAACGCAATGCATCGTAAGACAGAGAGCACATCTAATGTTTTATTGCGCAGGTCAGTCTTTAACACGTCTCGAAATTTGAACAGTTTTTGAAAGTAAACAACTATCCCACATAACCACAAACAAACAGTACAAAAGTTTGTGATTAAATGAGGAATATTTAGCATCTACTTAAGCCGTCTATGCACACTGAAGGATTAAACTGTTGTCCTCATCTGTATGTGAGAGTTTTCTTGCCTTATTCAGTCCGCTTAACAGGAGATTGAGTAATGTTCTCTGGCAGGACTGGATGCAGAGGTTCTCATGACCATCAAGGAGATTCTGCAAATCTTCTTCCCCTCGAATGTTTCCTTGGGAATCGACCACCGTGACCGAGGCGAGTGTGGCATGGAAGCTGCCTGTAGAACGGCTGCATAGGCCACGCATATGAAGATGCATCAGACGATAAGGCAAAGAACGTTCGATTGGGGCCTGGAAGAGTATTTAAGTAGAAGTTAATCATTAAAAAACGATGAGTTCTGAGCCAGGAATCATCATACCATCTGTATGTCTACGTTTAAAATTGAAGCCGTGAAGGTGCAGTCCAGGATATAGCGCATCAGGCGCATTACAGTGTAGGTTCTTGTGCAATTGACATTTCGAAGAGGACCATTGATTTTTGCGGACACACTGAAGGGTGTGCCATTGAAGAGAACAGATCTGCGGCCTAAGCGCATGTTTGCAATGCTCAACAGTAAGTGTAAATCGCCGTCAAATTTGTTTATAGCTGAACAGTCTGTCTGCATTTTTCTTTCTAAAAATAAAACAAGAAAACCACACTGGCGGCGCAAATATTTTGGAGAGTAAAAATACTCTAAATGTCCTTGAAATATGTTATTCGTTCGGCAGCTTGCTTGAGTGCAGCATATCAAATGGGAGATGTTTGAAATCAGGCAATCTGCAATTAATTTCCTACGATTATGTCGTAATCAGGCTGCAAGTACTGATAATTCAGAGGTTGTCATATAGGATCTCTGGCCAAAACGCCAGCATGGGTCACGAAAGAAACAATTTAGGGTTGTGGTGAAGTGTAGCACATTTATGGAATGAGTGAAGCGTAGTCATGAGTCGCTCTGGTATACTCCAATCGTCAATTTAGTAATCTGCTGGTATGCAGTCTTCGGTTGTAAAACGGATTAGGCGGTAAAGATTTTTAACAAGTCATTTAAAATGATCTTTGCCGCGCAACATTAATCATGTCCACAATATAATTTACTGCATTAGGAAGATTTATGACTCTCAAGGTTTGATCTTTGCGATGATATCGGTGTCCGTGACGAATTCCTTTACTAAACAAGGGAAATATGCCAGTGACTGTGTTTGAATATTGAATTTGCATAGCAGACCGGATCGGACTAATTCTCATAAGGATGTCACTCACCTACGACTCATCGTTTACTGACAAATGCAACCGGCAAAATAAAGGACATGCGAATAACTAGTATGAATCATTGGTCGTAATAATTTGGTGGCAAACTGAATCCGGGGCATTCGACTTGTATTTGAATTTAAATCTCTCTACAGGGTTGATTAATCGCCTACGCCTAACCTCCCATACCGTCGAGCTTCCTTACCCGCGCTCCGTGTATAAAGATCGGAAGTACGTACTCGCAAGCAATGAATTTTGCCTACGCGGTTTACTTGGAAGAGAGAAAGTTAACTGTCTGTCAGATCTGGACCAGTGCTTTATCCAGGCTCTTTATCCAATGTTGGCAAAATTTCCCGACGATCATTTAGATCAGTCGACTGCGGAAGTCCTTTCGCAAATACTATGGAATAGGATGTCTTCAAATATTGAGTGCACAATCTAGCTGCAAGTCGAACGAATAGTATCCAGGCCTGTACGCAGTTCAATACCGAATTGAGCATAATTGCTAATATCTGTTGACACGTACAGTGAGTGAACTATCTCATGAAATGCTGGCTGAAATTCTGAAATGCGTTTTCGATTAGAAGGAATTACTTGGTCGCGGTTGTAATACTGCCCATCTTGTGGCATACTCTTATAAAATTTCGGACTCGGCAGGATGTCGGCTTTTAGATGCACTTATTTTCAATCTCCTGTAGAAAGCGTGCTCGGTAAAAAATGACTACAAAAGTAGCATGCATTTTTCCCATTGATTTTCGACGGTCTTGGAAATTCAAATATATTTTATAGAAAACATAAACAAAAATATGCTTTCTTTTAGTCAATCAATAGAAAATCACGTCTTCTTTTTAGGTTATGTTAAGGGAAGGAGTAAAATTAGGTTTTAAAAAGTTCCTAATTATGAGACTTCTTAAGACCGCGACATGTCCATTCACATAGCACCGTACCTGCCCGTTTACCACTGCTCCTCATGAAATGCACAACATGATCCGCAACCATTGCAAACTTTTATGAAATCCGTATGATATCTCTTAAATGGCATAGAAAAATATGTGATTTTCTTTACGCGGAACGCATGCACCTTTTAGAATGAAATCACTAAGCGCTAATGCAAAGAATGATCAGGCTCCAAATTATTCGACAATTAGAAAACTTTCTTAAAACCTAATTATACTTCTTTCCTAAGTATAAAGTATAACGAAAACGTAATTCCCTATTACTTAACTAAAAGAAAGCATATTTACCTTTATGTTTTCTGTAAAATATATTTGAATTTCCAAGACCATCGGAATTCAATGGGAAAAATGCATGCTACTTAAGTAGTCATTTTTTACTGAGCACGCTTTCAGAGAAGTTTGAAAAGAAGTGCACTAAAAAGCCGACATCCTGCCAAAACCGAAATATTAAAAGACTATGTCTTAAGATAATGAGTATTACAACCGCGACCAAGTAATCCTTCCTAATCGAAAACGCATTTCAGAATTTCAGCCAACATTTCATGAGGTGGGTCGCTCACTGTAGGGATATGTCACGGGCATAATACTATTCGAAAGTTAAATTGAAAATAGTGAGCTGCATTGTCCACACGCATTCCAACATAACCCAGTTAAAACATTACGCAATATCATCATGTGTATTGTGACTTACTCAAACCAATGCATGATAGACAATGCTTGAAGGAGCACAAGAGTAATGAGCTGATGGCGAAGATGCTACAGAAGATCATTGATGATTTCGCGAGTTTGGCGCAGATGCTGGTTAACGACCACATTTAGCAGGCTTGCTTATCTCCTCAGATGCTTGTTAACCAATGGCCTTGAGAGCATGTCTGTAGTGCAGTAGAAATTCTGTGAGAGAGAGAGAAATTGAATCATCTTGAGCATGGTAAAATCTCTACTTAAACCCTTAGCATTAGTAAACTAGATTTAAAGGCAGTGTACATTGATTTTGCGCCGCAACTTGCATTCTACTAGAAAAACGTGATTTGGTAGCATAGCATACTGCCGCGGCATATATAGTAGGAATGCTGATGGGGGAGCACTGTGAAATGATTTTGTGGTGGACGCAAAAGCGTCAACTGACGTGATTTCTCGGAGGAGTTGGAAACATCGAATGGACATATTTGTCTAAAAGGAGATTTTACTGAATCCAAAATGTGTCCGTCGAGTACTCGGTCGTCATGTTTGAATAAAGTGAGCAGAAGAAGTGAGATTTCTAAACCTGGCGGTCGCGTTTACCATGTTCGGTGCCTGTCATGCCACTGATGAGTAGATCGTTATATATCATATTGTATTCGAATTCCTATTATGATTTAATGGTCTCTGTATGTCTTAATTATTAACGCAGTTAGTGTAAGGGTCACTTTCCTTTGCGCCTGAGTCGTTAAACCGGTCAGATTCATAATAATCATCTTACCCAGTAGTTTTGACCAAAACTTTCCTTTGCCGAAATGTGCTTCCTAAAATGCACTAGATAGTATACTCGCAGCAACATTGTGTTTAAATCCCTAGCATCCATAAATCGAATAGATGTTTCAAATTGAAATATAAATTAATTTTCCCTCCTATGTTCTTATGTTGTGGCCACAATCATAGGCCAAATTCATTGCCATCCAATATTTTGACTCCTCAGCATGCCCTTTCTACGGCTTTTACCTCATTTTCCAGAAGTGTCTTTTTTACTGTCTATGAGGTGAGTCCTATTAACGCGGTCGGAAGTCTCTTGGTTTGGATCCGGAGGACAAAGAACCGTGGATTTCCGAGAATAGTTACCAAGATACCACCAACTAGGGGATTTATGAGATGGAACGGAAAAATCATGTTATACAACTGTGACATTCATTCTATCAAAAATCACTTTTTCTGCAAGTGCAGAAGAATGGTCAGTGACTCAAAGTGTGCACGAGGAATCTATTATCATTCCAGTGCATATATGTTCGTATTCAAACCCCGTTACTGGCTAAATTAGGACAACTAATCTAACCTGACTTGTCGTGATCCTTGTAGTGTGTTTATCCCAGTAGGCTGCTATCGAAACCTCGATTATGCACGTTCGATACGGTGCACTTAGAAAGCCAGTGCATGTAAGTATTTAAGAAACGTTTCCATTCGATCGGCTTTATTTTCATTCCCTTCACTTAGAATACATTTTGCCCAGGTAGTATTAGCCGTAATATTGCTTTTGCGAGTTCCAAACAGCATCTCCTAGGACAGGCGTAATGTTTCAGATGTCGATTCCGTGAGGCCATGGCACTCCTACCTAGGAATCTGGATACTGAAATTACCGAGAATAGTGAGCTTCTCCGTCCTTGACGCAATTACCTGAAGCGCATGCAGGTCTTCGTACAACTTGTTTCTTACCTAGTTGGTGGCCGTCATCGGGCGGGTCGGTGGTTTTGCGAAAGCGCTAACGGAGGCAGCAAATTCGTTTTCCGGAAGAGTCGGACGAACATTCGTGAGACGGTTGTCTTACGAAGCCGCTTCGTGCGGAAAGGACGACGTCAGCCTTGTCTCGCTCTGCATTTGGCCGGCCGATCCAGACGGTGTTATCGGTAAAAAATGACTATATAAGTAGCATGCATTTTTCCCATTGATTTTTGATGGTCTTGGATATATTTTATAGAAACCACAAACAAAAATATGCTTTCTTTTAGTAAATTAATAGGGAATCACGTCTTCTTTATATTTTATACTTAAGGAAGGAGTATAATTAGGTTTTAAGAAGTTCCTAATCATGAGACTTTTTAAAACCGCGATATGTCCATTCAAATAGCACCGTACCTGCCCGTTTACCACTGCTCCTCATGAAATGTACAACATGGTCCGCATCTATTGCAGACTTTTGTGGACTCTGTATGGCATCTCTTTAATGACAGACAAATATGGTATTTTCTTTACGCAGAAGGCATGCACCTTGTAGAGTGTAATCACTAAGCGCTAATGCAACGAATGATCAGGATTAAAATTTTTCGGCAATTAGAAAACTGTGTTAAAACCTAATTATACTCCTTCCTTAAGTATAAAATATAATGAAGACGTGATTCTCTATTGATTGACTAAAAGAAGGCATATGTTCGTTTGTGGTTTTTGAATTGCCAAGACCATCGAAAATCAATGTGAAAAATGCATGCTACTTATATAGTCATTTTATACCGAGTACGCTTTCTATAGGAGATTGAAAAGAAGTGCATTTAAAAGCGAACGTCCCGGCGAGTCCAAAATTTTATAAGAGTATGCCTTTTGATGATGAGTATTACAACCATGACCATGTAATCCTTCCGTATCGAAAACGCATTTCAGAATTTCAGCCAACATTTCATTATGTAGATTACGCACTGTACATCCTCCAAAAGACTCTGCTCAGAGAATCGGGTCACGATGAGAGCAGCGATGTCAGCAGTTCTCGAGCGACCAGTTATATTCTCTTCTCCGGTCGACCGTTCTTCAGTTTGTCAGAAAGAAGATAATTGTAGACTCACAGTGTGAGTCGATGATTTCCGGTAGCCTGTAGAGGCAGATTGTTTTGGTTTCAGTAGGTTTGCTACAGTTTTCGGGAATTTTCGAGTCGTCGTATTTGGGGATAGTCGTCTCACGTTAGCGTTTAGGGAGAGCTTTCGTATTAGGGTTTAGCACTAACATTTGCAGTTGGGGTTAGGGTTAGGATTAAGCGTTATGCCAGGTTCAGAATTAGGATAAGGTTGAATTTCGGTGCCAGAATTAGGTCTTAGAGTCCGAGTTGAGGGTTAGGGTCTAGCGTTCGGATTAGGGGTTAACGTCTAGGGTAAAATGAGAAGGTCTAGGGTTCGGATTAGTGTTTGATGTCAAGGTTTAAGGCCGGCGTTTACGTTTAAGGTTAGTGTTTGGGTAAGGGCTGAGCTTTAGGTCAGGTTTAGGCTAAAGATGGGATAAGAGTAGGTGTTTGGAGTAAGGGCCTGAGTTAGGATTAGGCCTTGGAGTTGTCAGTTAGGGTTAGGGTAAAGTTTTAAGCTTTAAGGGTGCGGAATGGGGCTAGAATTCCGGTTTCTCCATTCGTTGGAACGTTTCCGTCCGAACACCGAAATCAACGTAAAGATTTATGCTGAACGTTATAAATCCAGCTATTGTCATAAATCCTCTTGGAGGCATCTCACAAATGATTTTACCGATGCAATACGTGCTGCACGAGCAAAGATCCTCCTAAATGTATTGTTGGTAATTTTCAGTTTCGCGCTGAGGATAATAAATTAGTGATTGGAGAATGCCGGGCTGAATAATGGCTGCGTGGCAGTCATCAAAGAATAGCATAATATTTCTACACATCACACCATTCATAAATTATTCCTTTCCTGTCACATGCTTGCGGCCTGGCCAGAGAACCTATTTGACCATCGGCCAATCGCATTCAAATGCGTCTCTGTAGCGTGGACCAGCAAGCCCGAATTCAAATGCGTCTCTGTAGCGTGGACCAGCAAGCCCGAAGGGAAAGGACATTGGAATTAAATGTCCTACGGTTCACTACATCCCGCTGCCTCCGCATCTGGTAGAGGAGTATCATTAGTTTCTGATGACCTAGGGTGTCATTAATGACTATTCCAGCGAATGCAATACCTGTCGGTCACATTTTTTGACGACTGAATTAAGCGGCCATCGGAAAATTTCACCGACACTGGATAGATCACTGTTTCAGATCAGGCAGAAAACCCCCTTTCCAACATTTAGCTAGGATCCAACGGAGACATTCATCGGGTGCGAGTAGGTATTCCCGGCGACAATCCACTGAGCGTGAGTACGTAAGCTGGACAGCGTGGGGCGCCAGACTTAGATGAGCAAGCATCCGTTGAACCCGAACTCCTACTCCGAATGCCTGTCGGGGGCGTCCAGTAGGAAAAAGAAGGCTAATTTTCCTTTTGATAAGGTAATCGCTGGCAATAGTCATTCTCTCATGAGCTTCCGACCAACAAAATGGCTTCCTGATGTTTAGAAATCGGCACGAAATTCAACGAGGCATAGTTACTGGCGGCACTTATTTTATTTGTGCTCAGGTGAATATTATTGCGTCTCTCTGGACTTTCAGTAGGAATTGATTACTTACCATATCGTCAGTCATTCTAATATATTTTATTTTCGCTCAACTATGGTTAGATGCTTATTCAAACACGATAAAGAGCCTAGTTTCTCCATTCGTTGAAGCGTTTCTGTCCGCACACAGATATTACCGTAAAGGTATATGCTGAACGTTGTAAATCCTGTTATTGCCATAAATCCTCTTGAAGGCATCTCACAAATGATTTTACCGATGCAATACGTGCTGCCCGAACAAAGATTCTCTCCAATATATTGTTGGAAATTTTCGGCATTTAGGCAGTTTCACCGCTGAAGATTATCAATTTGCGATTAAAGAATGCCGGGGTGATTCAAGACCGCGTAGTTATCTTAAAAAATAACATAATGCTTCTACACTTCACACCATTCATAAATCATTCCTTTCGGCCTGGCCAGAGAACCCATTTGACCATCACCCGATAATCGGTCCTTTCAAGCTGATAAATAGCAAATCAACTGATTTTACATGCGTTCTAACCGGCATTCTTTACTGACGTATACTCAACGCACAAAACATGCCAATACCACTTCGTACATTTTTTTACTATTCAGTCTATTGCGCCGTGAACACAGTTTCCTTTTTTTATTTTTAGAAAGAGCGATGCACAGAGGCTGTTCATCTATCATTAAATTTAAAGACGATTTC